TTTTTTTTTTGGTGGAACAGGGGATTGAACTCAGGCCCTTGTGCTTGACTGCTCCTGTACTTTAGGAGCTATTCCTATTCCCAATAAATTTTCCTTTTTTTTTTTTTTTTTAAATTTTCCTACTCTTAAAGGTTCTTTCTTTGTTGTTTTCATGGTACCAGGGATCGAATTTGGGACCTTGAGCTTGCCAGATAGATGCTTATGCCACTGAGCTATCTCCCTGACCCTAATTTTCCTACTCTTAAAAAGGCCAGCCACTGCTTCCCTGGAAAGCACGAGGGTCTGAGTTCAATCCCTGGTTCTGGAAAAAAAAAAAGGTCAGCCAACAGATTAAAGCGCCTGCAAGCAGGCACAGGGGCCAAGGGTTCGATCCCCAGGCCTGCCATGCCAGCCTCAACCCCAGGGTACACTGAGACTGCAATTGAGACTGGGCATGGTGGCACGCGTCTGTAATCCCAACTCTTGGGAGGCTGAAAACAGGCAGATCACTACGAGTCCAATCTAGTAGTGAGACCCTGAACACCCTGTAGTAATCCAATCTAGTAGTGAGACCCTTCCCTAAAAATACAAGGAAAAACAAAAAAAGGTGGGTGAGGTGGCCCATGGCTGTAATCCCAGCACACAGGAGGCTCAGCAGGAGGCTCACTGTATGTTTAAGGCCAGCTTGGGCTCCATAGTAAGCTTAAGGCCAGTGTCATCTACATAGCCAAGACTCTGTCTCAAAACCCGAAACCAAAAATTCCCAAACAGAACAGGTGCTTACCAGGGCAGAATTTGATGCCTCATCACCAGTACAGACCAGGATGCTGCCATCATTCTCTGGGCTTTGGAAAATGGCACTTTTGGTCAACAGCTTGGAAGTGGGCCCCCCGAGGAATGTTTGCACGGGCTGGCAGGAGCAGACTGGCTTCCCAGCGTCATCCAGCTTGTAGGACAGCTCCATCAGCACACTTCGCACAGTGCTGTGGTTCTTATCTGTGGGACACAGAAGCCAGAGCTGGCCATGGGGCCTGGCAGCAAGACCAGAGCCAAGTGCCTGAGCCCCAGACACCTACAGCGTAGCTGCTCAGGTGAATATACTATTCAACAAACACTAATGGCTCAAGGGAAGTTCAGAAAGCCCAGCTCGGGTGAAGCGAGTTACCTACAATATACCTTTGGCTATAAAAGAAACAATTCTGACCATTCACACCCATTTTAGGAAACTTGCTGTATCCTGCCAGACCTTCCTGGGGAATTCTTTTTTCCAGAGTTGTATGTTTTTTTCTCCCTTCCAGGAGGGAGGACACCAGGACCGTAGACTTTTAGAAAGTACAAGCCTGGGCTGGAGAGATGGCTCAGTGGTCTAAAGCACCTACTTGAAACAAGCTTGGCAAAGCACAGGGACCTCGGTTCGATCCCCAGCACCACATGCCAGCCAGCCCTGCCCCCTGGTGGGCTGAGCTGGCCACACACACACACAATAAATAAATGTAATAAATAAAAAAATAAATAAAAAAAAAAAAAAAAAAAAAAAAAAAAAAAAAAAAAAAAAAAAAAAAAAAAAAAAAAGAAAGTACAAGCCTATTCCAGGAGGAGGATCATACCTGAAATTCTGCTGGGAAGCAAACAAAAGCCAAGAGAACAAAACAGAGGCCCTGTCTGTAAGATGGGGAGAGGCTTCCAGAGAACTGTCTTTGAGCCCATCAGGTTTCCTGTGAAAGGGACACCTGATCACAGGGTAGACCCTCAGGCATTAAAGCCACCTTCCAAGATAGAGGTCCCTAAGAAAGCCACAGGTAATTAACCAATAGCACTCACAGAACCATCAGTAACTAACTACAGCCATGTAGCTATCATTGTGGATTAAAGCTGCTCTCCTTAGAGCTTAAGAACAAAGGAAAGAAGGAAGGAAATCTACAACACTGACATCAGTATGGTTCATTGGAAATTTAGGCCACAACGCACCTGTGAATTTAAGAAAAGGCCAGTCTAGGCACACCTGGGCCTTTCTCATGTCTGAGGTACATGGCAGGAGGAAGAATGAAACTGATCTGAAGGTAGCTCTCCAGCCTCTGAAGCAGGCCTCCCGCCCTGCCTCTGTAGTCGAACAAGCCTAGAATAGCTCCCCACTACCTGGGAGGAGCAGCTCCCATTCTCACAGAAGACAGCAGCCCCCAGTCTCCCTGGATGGTTACCGCAGCCACCCAAGCCTCGTCTGCACCAAACTGCTTCCCAACACTGCAGGCCCCAAGGAGGCCCACACTCACCAGGCCTGTAGGTGACCAGGCAATGTCGGGTGCTGCTCTCGGTCTGGAAGTCCACATAGCCCCCAGGCTCCAAGGGCAGTACGTGAGGGCAGTGTGCAAAGCCCGTTTTAAGCTCCCAGAAGGAAGCATGTTCTAGGGTTCCAGCCAGCACCCCACCATATGGGAACACAGCTGAGGCAGCTCTCGGGATGTACGACAGGGACACTAGGGGGCATCTGAGGAGAAAAGGAGATCCTGGTTCACATTCCAAATCCAATAACTGCACCACGCCTGAACCTTCTGCCTGGAGCCCACATTCTATAGGAAGAGGCTAAATATCTGGGGTCAGCATCCCCTGCCTCTAATAAAACTCTAAATTCTCTAATAGATTTTTTTTTCTAGCTTTTTTTTTGGCAGAACAGGATTGAATTCAGGCCCATGTGCTTACCAGGCAAGCACTTACTCTACTGAGCTATCTTTCCAGCCTAGATTTTTTTTTTGAGATAGAGTCTTGCAATGTATTTCAGGGTGATCAGCTGACCTCCATCTCACTGTAATCCTGTCTCAGCCTCCCAAGTGCTGGGATTACTGGTTTGCACCACCACTCAGCAATATGGGTCCCACCACATGAAATACTATCAATTCAATTTTTTCTTCTTCTTCTTCTTTTTTTTTTTTTGTGGAGCCAGGATTGAACTCAGGCCCTTGCCCTTGCCAGGCAAGTGCTTATTCCACCGAACTATCTCCCCAGCTCCTGAATTCAATTCTTGAAAGTTGTTCTGATTCTGCTGACTTGTTGAGCTGCCTTCTATGGGGAATGCTGGCCAACTGGGGACATCCTCGTGGACAGGGCCACAACAACAACAATCTGAGAGTTGCTACTCCCAGGAGAGGAGAGAGTAGCTCCCTACCTGGCTTTCTGGGGGGCAAGTTCCTGCACGTGAGAGTTTGTGTTGCGAAGGTCATATACCAGAATGGACCCATTGGCCAGTCCAGCATAGACATAGTTGTTTTCATCGAGACACCAGCAACAGCTCCACACAGGCCGTCCAGTATTGTAAGTCTGGACCACAGTATTTGTCTCCAGGCTGCAGAGTTACAAATTAACAGAATCAAATACATGACAAAGAGGTAACAATTATCATTTAAATATAATAATGAGGGCTGGTGAGATGGCTCAGTGGTCTAAAGCACCTACTTAGAACATGCTAAGCTAAGCAAAGCACAGGGACCGCAGTTCAATCCCCAGCACCACATGCCAGCCAGCCCCGCCCCCTGGTGGGCTGAGCTGGCCACACACACACACACACACACACAAAATAAATAAATAAAAAATAAATAAAATTTAAAATAAATAAATAAATAAAATAATGCTTACTGATGGGGCTGGTGAGATGGCTCAGTGGTCTAAAGCACCTACTTAGAACAAGCTTAGCAAAGCACAGGGACTGCGGTTCAATCCCCCAGCACCACATGCCAGCCAGCCCCGCCCCCTGGTGGGCTGAGCTGCCCCCCCCACAAATAAAATTTAAAAAAATAATAATAATAATGCTTACTGAAAACACACCCACAAACACAACCATCTGGATCACCAGTTTCCAGATAAACCCTTTAAAGTCCAAAATTTCTGTGTTGGGACCACAGGCTTTTCTTCTGAGCTATGCAGTAGCTAAAGAATAAGCTAAAAAAACACATAAATAGCACAATGTCCACTATTCTGTTACCTTCTCAATAGTTACCTAAGTATGCAAGTAACCAGTAAACAAGGTAGGAAAATTAGAAAATACATGAAAGGCTGGCATGGTGGTATACACCTATAACCACAGCACGCAGGCAGGAAGGTCACTACAAGTCTGAGGTCAGTCTGTGCTACAAGGTGAGTTCAAGGCACAAGACCCTATCTCAAAAAAACCCAAAAAACACATGTTTCCAATGAACCATACTGATGTCAGTGTTGTAGAACAAGTGTTCTCCCACTGAGTTGTAACCTCAGTCCTGAAACGCTCCTACAAAGTCAAAAGGAGCCATGCGGTATCCCACGCCTGTGATTCTAGCACTCAGGAGAATGAGGCAGGAGATCACTGAGAGTTCAAGGATAGCCTGGACTGCGTGAGGAGACCTTGTCAAAAAAAAAAAAAAAAGAAAGAAAGAAAGACGATTCTAGACGCTGAAGAATCAGAGTGAAACCAGCCTTGGGCACACAGTGAGTTCAAAATAGTGAGACCCTGCCCCCAAAATCAATCAATCTAAAGGGTTATTAGGCCTGACGATAGCACTAGCAGGATGCCCCTTGAATTTGCCATCAGAAATTAAATAGGAGGGTGGGCCAAATAGCTCAGTGGATTAAAGCTCCTGCAAGCAGGCTCCTGGGTTGATCCTCAGGCATGCACAGCTGGCCCTGCCCCCAGGGTGCACTGAGCCTGCAATTGAGACTGAGTACTGTGGTGCGCACCTGTAATCCCAGCTCTTTGGAGGCTGTAAACAGGTGGATCACTACAAGACCGATCTAGTAGTGAGACCCTGAACACCCTATAGACCTTTCCTTAAAATATGAGGGAAAAAAAAGAAAAAAGAAACTGAATAGGAAAGCACTTTTTTTTTTTTTTTTGAGACAGAGTCTTGCTATGTAGCCCCCAGGCTGGCCCTGAACTCATGACAATCTTCCTGCCTCGGCCTCCTGAGTGCTGGGATTATAGGTGTGCCTGAAAAATTTTAGGTGATTTTTTTTTTTTTTTTTTTTTTGGTGGAACCAGGGATTGAACTCAGACCCTTGTGCTTGCCAGGGAAGCACTCAGAAAAATTTTCTACAAGATAAAAGCATGCAGTTCACTCCTATATGCTTCATAGTATCCACAGAGCATGTAAAAGACAAAATGCTATACCCAAAAACATGAAAAAAAATCACCATGGCACCACAGACTGTGAATGCCTGGTGAGCATCATCTTACGACAGAATTATCCAGGTGAACAGGAACAGGTTGGTATGGAAACTCTATGGTCCAAGAATCACTGTCATCTCTCTTTGTAAGGCATTACTTGCATCCAGATGGTTTAAGGTATATTTTGTAATATACATACCTACTCAATACAGTTTAGTAGCCTCTACTTTTACAAAGAACACAATCACACAAACCAGAACCTTGTGCATTTGAGGCACAGTATCACAGAGCTACATCTCAGCCTACCAAGTGATGTGATTATAGATGTGTGGCACTGTGCCTAGCTACCTTAGGGCTTTTTAAACATTTTAAGACAAGGTCTTACCAAATTACCCAGGTTTGAATTTGTGATGTTTTGCTAGCCTCTTTGAGTAGTTGGGATTACAGTGTGCATAACCACACCCATGAGGAATAAGTTTAAAGTAGATTTGAGAGGACATGCCTCAGGCCAAGGAAAGAGCTGGTCCTGGCATTGGAACATTGACCCCAGGCTGACGCTGTCCAGTGCTCAGTGGCCCAGGTACTAGCTCTCCTGACTCACTCACCTGGTCAGTTTAATAGTGTTGTCGAGGGAAGCGGAGAGCAGTAAGCTTGCAGACTGAGTGCTGAATGCCAAGCTGCGGATCTGCTTGCTATGCATTTGAATGTACTGAGTGCTTGTCATGTTGGCAGTACTCAGCATCTTCACACCAAAGCCTGCCAGAAGAGCACACAACAGTCCAGTGGGAATCAGTTAACCCAAATGCAAATGATCCTGCTCCTTTGTTCATTTTTCCAGGCATGTAAGTTTTTAAAAACAGCTGCTTGGGGCTGGGGAGATGGCACAGTGGAATAAGCACAAGGGCCCAAGTTCAATCCCTGGTTCCACCAAAAAAAAAAAAAAAAAAAAAAAGAAAGAACCCCACAGAAAACAGCTGTTCAATAAGGAAAATCAAGGGCCGGCCAGATAGCTCAGTGGATTAAAGCGCCTGCTTAAGCAGATGCAGGGGTCA